TGAGAAAAACCCACCTAATCCAGAGTTACAATGTCCATAAAAACCCCAGCCTTCACCTGAGCAGCGAGTTACTGACTTTCAGGCTCCGCTGCCCTTCTCTAGCTGTAGCCTTTCCTTTCTCTGTAATAAATCCTACTTTATGTACCAGCTCATTATTCAGCTGCCTCACGAGCCAGTTCTCTGGTCTGTGAAGGTAAGGACCCTCCACACCAGCAGGTAACAGAGTCAAGTCTGTCCTTCACCAGTGTGACCTGGCATTTGTCTATCTTCCTTCTGACTACTCCCATGGGCAGGAAATAAGTCACCTGGCCCAGGGAGCTGAGGGGAGGCTGAGAAACAGGATACATTCTTGAGCAGCTGAGAGACCAGCTCACCCAGGGCCTCACTACCACAGAAGAATGGGACCTCAGGGACACTTCGCCCATGGAACAAGAGGGTCTCTGTCTCTGTCACTGACAGAAAAAACGGTACAGTTCACTCCAGTGCTGCACCCACCAACCTCCCCAGAAACCCTGGGTTTGCACTTTGAAAGCAGGCTGTCTGATGCCTGTTGGAGAACAGGGCTCCTCCTGGGGTGAGCCGGGGTTCACTCTGATTTACCACCAAACCCAGAGAGCTGTGCCTGCTTGATTTGACCCTTGTGATGAACGTGAGTCCGCTCTGGCAGGCAGAGGGAGTGCCAGCAGGTGGTTCTCCCAGACCTCAGCGCTGGGGCCTGACTGGAGGGGAAAGGCAGCCAGCCAGCTGGAGAGCAGTGGAACCTGGGTTGTGCAGGCCTGGCCCCAGCAGCTAAGCCTCCATGGAGAACTACCCAGGAGAACGACCCAGCTTTGGCTGGAGGGCTGCACACACACCAACTGCTGCCTTGTAGCCCTGCCTGGGGAAGCTGAGAGACATGAGGCAGGTCAGGGATAGTCTGGGACTGCTCCCCTTCTTGACTCAAGAGCTCCACCCCCTAGCCCACAGCTGAGAGGAGCCTGTCTCCCCACCTCCAAGTTCAAGGTGATATAAAAAAATGACCTACCAAAAGACCCCACTCTTTTTTCTTCTCTTCCCTCACCTGGCAGAACAGGTGACTCCCTTCCCTCAATAAAGCTATTCGACCTCACCCATCCACGTGTTCTGGGTGGATTCCTCCACCCAGAACGCAAGGACCAAGGTCTCTGGAAACACCGATGGCTGATAGCAAGCAGGCCCCACCTGGAGGTAAAATCTCACTTCTGGACATGACAGGCACAGAGCAGGAACCCACAGGGGTTCCAGAAGGACTTTAACATTCTCAGAAGACCACCAGAAGATGGCGGGAACAGCTGCCACTGGCCCCATCCAATGCTGGGTCAACCCTGTGGGGGTCTCCACCAAAGACCCCACCAAGCTTTATCAGAGCAACAAAGCAGGGGAAGCAAGGGAATTCCCTGGTCCTTGGGCAACACCCTGGAGGCCTCCCCAGGGACATGGGGGACATTAGGAGAGTGCTTGCGTCCTGGGTTAGGGAGAAACAGAGCGAGCAAGACTTCAGCCAGAACTGAGACTTGGTGGCCCAGAAGTGAAATAGTGACCACCAGGCACCCCTTTCCTAAGGCTGCAAATGCTGGCAGGCCAATAGCACTGAGCTGTGTAGGGACAATGCCACTTCCTGTTCTGTAACTGGGTAAGATGCTCACCCTAGAACCTTCGAGAATCTCTGTATGTCAAATGCCAGGGGTAGGGCCTAGTTGGGCGACTAAATGACTCAAACAGCATCAGAAGAGCCCACAGCACCCTCCCAAGAGCCTGGGTTGGCTTCCGGCAGCTGTGGCCTTTGCCCCCGCCAGTTCCAGCCTCAGCAGACCCCTCCAGGGGGACTCTGAGACCTGGTCCTGGATGGGAGGAGCAGCTGGCTTACCCACATGCAAGGCTGAAGAGGCTGCCGGGAGCCCTAGGTCCCTTCTCACCACCAAGCAGCCCCCAGAGTCTGTCTTCAGAGCCAAAGGGTCCACATCTGCCAGGCCTGCTGAGAAGGGAGGGACCTTTCTGTCTTGCTTGTCTCCCCAAACCCAGGCTTGCAGGATTCCCAGGTGTAGCCCTGCAGAGCTCAGCCCTGGCCTCACCAGGGTCCTCAGGACCATCATGGTCCCAACAGCCTGCAGGGCTAAGGTAAAACCCCCTCAGTCATCTCCTGCTAAGCTTCCCAGCCCCCTTGGCAATACTTGTGCTCTCCTACCAGCCTGCTGCTCCCAGCTCCCCTGAGATCTTGGGTACTGAACACGATCCTCCGGGCTTCCCAGGTCCACTGACTCTGCTTGCTTCCAACGTGGGCAAGCAGGCCTCCCCAGAGCTGTCTTGATCCTCCTGACACCACCCCCAGGCTGGAAGGCTCCTCTCTCCTCTGGACTCCCAGCACTTCCTGTTGGCATGGGAGCCATCTGGCTGTCCTCAATGGAGTTGTAACTTCCTGAGGCTGATACGGGGTTTGGCTTAAACTGTGGGATTTCAGGGCTTTCTCAGCATCACACAGCAGTAAATATTTGCTTCAGGGCAGAAATGGTACATTTGGGGTTATTAAAGTGAATGAGGAATAGTTTAGATAGGAAGTCACAGGTTTGGCCAAGCATTTATGGTTATGTAGTTGGGAGGAATTACACCTTCCTTCAGGTGAAAGGCAGGGCTGCTGTGTGTAAGTGCATGTATGTGCCTCTACGTGCAGGCACACATTTGTATGTGCATGCCTGCACGCGTGCATATGTACATGCGTGAATGCATGCGTGTAGACACTTATGTGTACATGTGTCTACATGCATGTGTACATATTTGTGCATGTGCTTGTGTGTACATGTGTGTGTGTATGCTTGTATGTGTGTACATGTGCCTGTGTGTCCATGAGTACACATTTGTGTGCACGTGCATGCATGTGTGCCACAATTAGGAGATTCCATTCATATGTTTGGATTCAGCCGCTTTGACCAGTTCCAGTCTAAAGGGTTATTTTCAGTCTGGAGTCTGAAGCTTGGCCAGGGTTTTGTAAGTCCCCTGATGGGACCATCTAAAGGTTCTTAGCTGATTCTGAAGCTCCAGGAACGCTCAACTCCATTTAAAGATCAGCAAATTGTTGTAGGGCATTTACTAATGCCAGCCACTGTTCTGACTACTTGTCAGGAAATTCATTTGCTTTCCCCTCAAAACAGCTTATGAGCTAGATCCTGTTATGCCCTACTTTACCAGTAGGTAAACTGAGTCATGGAATGCTGGGACTTGCCCTGGGTCCAGCAGATGTGAGGTGCAGGATCGGGGTTCAGAGCCAGGATGGCCAGCTGATCCACGAGCAGCACCCCCTTGCTGCACTTGGAGTCCCCTACGTTTCCTCATTGCTAAGACGTTTCGAAAAGTGCCACCCTGGACCAGACTTCCCATTTCATAGGCCAGGACATGGAGGCCTGGGGACAGATGCCAAAGAGGGGATCCTCGTCATAAAGGAGCTTGTGGCATTATGAGAAGTGGAACCCAGAAGCTGTGCCTGACTGGGGTTGCCCCTTGAGTCCACGCCACGCCACCCCCTCCTCCTGCTGTCAGCTCTGCTGATGGCTGAAAGTCACCACGGGTCCCAGGGCAGCCCTGTGGTGGCTCAGGGCCAGGCATGTCCCCATCCGATCCTGGCTCAGCTGCTAACGTGATCTGTGACCTCCCCTCTGAGCATTGGTTTTCTCTTCGTGGATGGGGTGCTCATAGGACTTTCCTCACCTGCTGCCCTGAGGTTCTCTGTGCTCGTTCTAAGAGCCCAGAGGATCCTGCCTGTATGCAGAGTAGTGTGTCAGAGGGACAGAGCCATTTGGGGACTGCATCTCATGCCCTTGATGTTGTAAGGGCAGGGAGAGCTAGTGGCTCTGGCTTCTACCCCCACCCCACTGCCCCAGGAAGAAGCCCAGGTGCAAACAAGCATACAGAGTGACATCTTTAACACGGGGGATTCCAAGCAGACCCCACAGGGCAGAGGTTAGCAGGGCCATGGGTGACATCTGAGAACGGAGGCAGTCACAGGTGACCAGACTACACTGGGTGTGTGATGGCCTCCACATTCCCCAGCCACAGCAAGAGAGGCCCAGCTTACATATGAGGGGGTAGGGGGATCAGGTGGGACCTGAGGAGGACACCTATCCTCACCCTCAGGACAGAAACTGAAGAACCAAGGGGCTCAGGGTGGGGGCCCCAGCTGATCCAGTGGAAGTGTCATTGTATGTGATAGAATACAGAATAGTTCACAAGCATACCATAAAGAATGGCGACATGGACCATGATTCACACGCATGCTCTATTTTATCAGTAACTTGAGTTTCAAAAGTAACTGCAACTGTGTGTACTTTCCACCTAGAGATCCGAGGCCACAGCTGGGCTGACGTCTGTGTGTGCTGGAGCCAGGTACCAGAGGGTCATGGCAGAGGTCTCGGCCCTTGGCACTCGGGGTCTGCAGGTGGGCATCCACTGCACGAACCTCAGTTCTGCCCTCTGTAACCCAAAGGGCACTTGTACTTCCTCCCATCCGTGTAGACACCTGCTGATGCTCATGCCCGCATAAGAACAAACTTCTTTCAAATAAAGACAGGAGGGAAAGGAATGCAGATTTCACAAAGCTTTTTATTTCAGCTGCATTATGATGCTGACCTTCTGCTCTGCAGCACTGGGCACTGCCATGCTTCCCTGTCACTGGGTGGGGTGCTTCCAGGGTCTTCCTGTCTTCCAAGTCCCATGGACCCAGCAGAGGCCCTCAAAAACTCAACCATCACCCACTAGGCGGGGAGGCTGGCTGCAGAGCCCAGACACACAGCTATTTCCCCTGCCTGAAGGCAGGGGCTCAGCCAGGCCTGGAGCACAGGACGGGTGCAGGCAGCTGTGGACATCCCGGGAAGGCGACCAGCTGGCAAGCAACCAAATAAATAAGAAATGCCACCATGAAGTCTACACAGACATGTTTGGTTCTTTAAAAAGCAAAAACAAATCCAGCACAAAAGTAAGGCAGGGGCCTGGGGACATGGAGGTGGGGGAGGGGAGGGTCCATCTATAAAGTGCTATTTGGGGCATGGGAATCTCCCAGTGTCACCAGGAAAGGAGGGACTGTGGGTGAAGACAGCATGCAATTTCCTGTGCCGCCTGGCATTCCAAGTGGACAGAGCTAAGGAGCAGCGCCCCACCTGCCCTCAGCAGGGCCTGGGCCACTTACACAAGCAGCAAGTCTCTGTGCCTTGAATCTGCCCACGTAAGCACATGGAGCACACGCTCAGCACACGGGGAGGCCTCACAGCGACATGCACTGAAGCCTCCTCTGGTGGCAGGCGCTCCTCACGCGGCTGACAGGAAGGGGAAGAAGAAGAAGTTGAAGGCGAACTTGAGAGCATCGTGCACCGTGCTCCGCCAGTCCTGCTCGATCTTCACGTGCCGCCTGGCTGGGGAGAGCTGCGCCATGCAGTTCAGGCATCTTATGGCCTTGAGCTCAAAGACGGGCCACTTGCTGCCCAGGCGGCCCTCGAGGATGGTGCTGAACTCGATGAGGCTGCCCTGGCGCAGGCTGAGCAGCACACCCTTGAACTCACTGCTGGCCCGCAGCACGATGTCTTTGGTGATGTCGTCCTCTTCGTGGCCTCGGGTGCCGTTGGGGTTGCTGCTGTACAGCACGCCCACCGTGATCTCAAACTTGTAGCGGTCAAACTTCTTGATGTGGCAGGGGTGCTTGGCCAGTTGCTTGAGCCGGCACAGCTCCTCCTCGGCCGTGGCCATGTCACCAGGGCTGCAGGACGGGTAGGCCTCACCATACAGGCAGCGCATCCAGTCACCCACGAAGAACGGCAGCATGTTGATGGCTGACTCTGCGCTGTTGTCGATCTCTGTCACCCGGACATACTTGAAGCGGCCCGTCCATGTCACCCTGTGGCCCTCCAGGTGGCTGCACAAGATCTGTGTGCGCGCCATGTTGGTCTCCTTCCAGGCCCGAGGCCCGCACAGGAAGCTGTACTGCTGCCAGGTGAGCGTGGAGTTGTAGACCTTTATGCCCTCTGAGCGGTACACGTAGAACCAGCAGAAAAGCAGGATGGCTGTGAGCCACACCAGGATGAGCTTGACCACGGAGCTGCGTGTCAGGGATTTCACCATCTCTATCACAGAGAAGCTGGCCTTGGTCCACCAGCGGAATAGCAGGGGCACGCTGCAGATGGCCGTGGTGACCAGGATCTTGGTAAGGTCCAGGGACACAAACCACCGGGCAAACTGTACCACGCCCATGAGGACGAGGCCAGCCACCAGGATGGGGAGAGCAAAGAGGAAGAGGAAGTAGCCGATGGAGGCACGGACCAGGCCCAGGCCGGTGGACTCGAGCAGGATGACCACAGACAGCTCGCACCACATGAAGCAGACCAAGTAAGGCACCAGGTAGCAGTAGGTGCCCTTGAAGTCCCTCAGCTGGGCCATGCGGAAGAAGAGATAGAGGAGGTAGACGTAGAGCAGGCAGGGGAGGCTGACGTTGAGGATGATGAAGTGACCGATGGGCACAGTGAAGAAGGTCTGGCCCAGCGCTTTCAGGAAGGGCCCATCAATGGGTATAGAGGGCAGGAGGGATAGCAGTCCAGCGGCCACCTCGGTGACAAGGGCTCTCCTGGTGTAGGGTTCAGCTGAGCTGCTCAGGCTCATGTAACTGGTCACTGTGAAGAAAATGGCGATGATGGCCAGCTCCGAACAGGGGATGCAGTCTTTGCTGGCCAGGGGGAAAGAGAAGATGACGAAGACGACAGAGAGCAGGAAGTGGGCGTAGGGCTCTAGGTGGTTCCAGCCGAAGTTGACCTCAGCTTGCTCCACGTCCAGGTTGGGCTCGAAGCGCAGCAGCAGGTCGGTGAGGGTGCGGAAGTTCTCCCAGGCCTTGCTGTCCTGGAACACCTTGAGGGTGCAGATCACCATGGACACGAAGGACAGGTAGAAGACAACCAGGGGGATGAAGAAGGCGAAGAAGTCGATGGTCAGGTTGCTGATGATGAAGAAGAAGATGAGGGCATTGATGTGGTGGGTGGGCACAATGGTGGACAGCCAGTGCATGCCCGCCTTGGAGGCCATGTCGATCAGGTACTCTTTGATCTCCATGATGGCGTGCAAGGGGTACTTCACCACCTGGGGGAGACGGGGTGTCGGGGTCAACTGGGGCGAGAGCCCCTCGCCCTGCATCCCATGGTTCTCTCGGGCCCCCCACATCCCCACTGCATGAAATTAACCCTGCCCGCCATTCTCCCACTGCTGGGCCTTTGTCCTGACAAGCCCTTCCCGTGCACACCACCCTCACGTGGAGAGGTGCACCGCGCTCTCTAGTCCATATAGTCGCCCCCACCTCAGGAGGGGGGAGGTGGCCCTGCCACCTAGGGCAGTCCCATATCCTGCCTGTCTGCAGATCATTGGGGGCTCTTAGCCCACCAGGGCCACTGCAGTGGGCAGGAGGGGAGAAATGGGGCATGGACAGTGCCAGTCTCATGCAGCAAGGCATAGCACACAAGGAGAGGGGTCTCAGAGGGCTCAGCCCCACAGGAGGCAGAAGCCTGGCTGCCTGCCCAGAGCATCCCTGAGGGACCGCGTGACAGAGCCAGGCCTGAGCAATGATGGGCAGGAAGTGGAAGCTGGATGCCCCATCTGTGCTGGGCCAAGTAGGCAGCACTGGCCCTCTTACTCCCTTGGTGGGTTCTCCACGTACCCCACCCAGGAGCCAAGGGGGATCCCGATGAACTAAGTGACAATTCCAGAAGGTGTATCTTTCAAGAACTGTGGCTGTCAACTCACTGACCAGGCACCTGGAAGCCACGGTAGATGGAGCTTCCCTTAGCAGAAAGTTGGGAGCTGTAAAGGACCCTAGAATGTTTAAGATCACTTGCACACAGACACACGTCTACACACGTGTGCATGGGGAGTTTTGATCCTCTAATGTTTGCGACAGTGGAGTCAGTCCATCTATAACCAGGAGGTAAACAAACTAATAAACAGCCAGTGGCCCCCCGGCTCCTCTGGGCCATCGACTTTCCCCTGAGCAGAGATCCCCACACCTGTGGGAGACAGGCCTCAAGGAGGCCAGACAAGGTGGCATTTCTGATGCTCCCAGAGAGCAAATAGGTGTTTGCAAAATGAACCTGGTCAGGGCTTTCTCTGGAAGGAGCCCTTTCGGGATGAGGTCAGGCTAGTCAGCAAAAATCAACAGCCCCACAGTGAGTCACGCGTGTGTCAGAGATGGTCAGCTATGTTCGTCCCTGTGGGTGGAGCTTGCTAACAGCAGGAGGAACTACAGGTGGCCCAGGCCCTCTATGCTCCTGTTCCTACACCTAACTGGCCCGGGCAGCCAAAGAAGCAGCCTGCAGGTACCTGAGGAGCTGGCAGAAGGGACTGCAGTCCAGTCTAAACGCTCAGCCTTAACGCTCAGACCCGTTTTAGCCTTTGGGGCCACACAACACCCTAGTGCAGAGGCCTGTAAGGGACAACTAAGCTTGAGAACCGGATGTCCATCGTGTCTGGCCCTTGCTTGGGCAGCATGCAGGGCTGGCCCCTCCGGGAGCCTCTGTGGAGGGGGGTTGAGGGAGAGTGGGGGTGTGCTCTCCATTTTTATGGTCCTCAACTCCACAGTTTTTACCCAAGTCCCACCAGACTGTGGGACAGAACTGTTAGTCTCCTTTTCTGCAAGCATGTCTAAACGAATTTCAACAAACTCTTCCTCAAGCTGGGAACGGTGAGCACAAAACACGCCCCGTCCAGATGGGAGTGCCCAGCCTTCAGCTACGTGAGAGACCCAGGGCGGAGCATTGCAGCCCAGCAGGCAGCAGAGGCAAGGGAGCCGAAACCAGACCTGCTCAAACCTGAGTCAAAGGATCCACATGTCTGGCTTCCCGTGCTTCAATGTAAACACGAGGATTTTTATTAATTAGTGTTTTTTGGTGGTACTTGTGCTTGCTAGGCATGCGTTCCACCACTTGAACCACACCCCCAATTCGTGGTTCGCTTTTCAGATAAGGTCTTGTGCTAACTTTGCCTGGTCAGCCTTAGACTCCTCCACCTTCTGGAGCAGCTGGATTACAGACATGCATTACTTCTCCCAGCTTGTTTTTAAGATAGGATCTCTCACTAGCTTTGCCTGGGGTGGCCTGGACCTGGGTCTTCCTTCTCTACCTCCTGGGTAGCTGGGATCACAGACATTCACTGCCATGCCTGGACCATATTAGGATTTAAAAACACATCAGCTCTCAGGGACTTTGTGCCCCTGGGCTTGAGAAGGGAGCCTGGCCTCTGGAACATTCTTTGTAGGGGCAATGCCAGCTCGCAGGGGTGCCTGTTATTCTTCTAGGGCTGAGGATAACCTCTCAGTGCCCCCTACCATCCTCTGAAAGGCCATTAACAGCGGGAGAAGCCTGGGTGCTGGGACACACCTGAAAGTTCACTCTTTTTTGCAAAAGACCTTAATGAGATAAATCATGAAGGAATCACACAGCACTGACAGTGCAAAAGCTGCAGGGCAGCAGAGCCTGTCTATTTCTTGTGAGAACACTTTAAATCTCTCTCCCTCGAGGGACTTCCAGACTTTGCACAGCATGAACTCAACACCCAGGGGGTGACGTCATTTACTGCCCAGACCAGGGCACTGTAGAAGGGGCATTAGTGCTTGCGTGGGACAGGTACCCTGGGATACCTTGGCCCCAGTCTTCTCCAACTTGCCCTTTCACTTTTGACCCGCTCTGGCTTTTGCCCAGAAACATGCCAGGCGCCCCAACCTCCTCCTCTCGGGTTAGGAGGAACCCGGGGCAACCCGTTTGGGAACCCACACGTCCCAGGCACTTTGTCATCCCGTGTCCCGGGACCTCCTGAGTGGGCGGTCTCTCCTGCCCTGGACATGCTCCTGTTCTCAGCGGCAAGCATTTCAACTCGTCACCCAGAGACCCGCCAGCTGCCTGGGACTCCAAGTCTCCGGAGCGTGGCAGTCAAGCTGCCGCTCTTTGGGCCATGGTCTCTCCTGTGCTGCTCGGTCGCCCCTCCTCTGCTCCAATGTCCCACACTCCCGGCTCCCACATGCAGCCTTCGCAGCCCACTTCCTGCCGCCTCTGGCTGAATGCTCTGAAGCTTCACCCCATTCTTACGCCCTCATGGTTCATCCACATTCCCAGCACTGAGGATGCTTGGGTACCTGGCCCACAGACATTCCTCGGCTCAGAGGTCCCCGTACTGGTCTTGATCCTGCTGCTCACAGTGTGCTCATGTAACTGTCGGGTCAGGTGGCCCAACTCCTAGAAATCCTGGTGTCTCTGCTGCTGGCAGTGGACACACCTAACGCAACCTCACAGGCTGACCTGGGTGATTCTGCAAAAAGGCCCTATGGCCACATCACAGTCTACACTGAGTCCTCACTACACGGCCAAAACCTGCGGCCAAGGCAGGGTGTGGGTTCATTTCTGCTCCCCACTCATGCTGTCAGTGCCGCTCACTTCCCTCGGGTGTGCCAGCAGCCCTGGACCAGCAGCCCACCCTCAGTCTCTCCACGAGCCCCGGCACATCCACTGAACAGGCCAGGGGCTGGCCCTCCCTGCCTGCCAGACCTTAGCAGCTGTTTGGGGGAGGTAACTGTGAGGAAATGGTGCCCATCTTGTGCCACAGACAGACGATTGCTCTACATGGTAGCCACCTGCTGTCAACAGGGCGCTCTATGCAGGAAGACACCAGAAGGGCTTTTGTGGTGCTGTCACCTGAGTATGCCCGCCAGACAGTGCCCTTGCTTTCTGGGCCTAACTGCCCAGAAAGGCCTCCTCTGAGGACATTTCCTCACACTTGACCCGCAGGACAAGTGGCACAGACCCAGGACATGTCACTGAAGGCCAAGGCCTCCCCGCCATGGCTTCCTGGAAAGGATTAGGGTAGAGCATGGACAGGCTCTCTGGGGTCTCGGTACCCACCTTCTGGCGCAGTGGCAGGTCCTCAGGGCTCTTCCCAGCCAGCTCGTCATCATCGTCATCCTGCAGGAACAGGTTGGTGGGGATGATTCCCTTGGCATACTTTTTGGTGATCTCAACGAAGTCGTCCAGTGCGATGTAGTTCTTGGCTGAAGCACAAGAGAATATGGGACCAGGTCCTCTCACTGCAGCCCACTGGGACCATAATACAGATGGGTGAGGAGGGGATGGTGGCTTGGGGCTGGTTGGGACGGGAGCTGTATGGGTTCAGGTAGGACTTCTGCTTAGAGTGTAGATGGGTGAGGACCAGTGGATGGGGAGGAAGTGTGCCTGCCAGTCTCCATCCTACTCTCAGCTTTGGTGACATGCTGCCCACCCAAAGTGACCTACTGTCCTAGCCCTGATACCTGGAGTCTGCCTGTACCTTTAAGGCCAGCTCCACTGACAGGCCTTTAATAACCTGCACCTCTAGCACCCTGATGTCCTCTTCCTCACCCTTCTTCAGCCCAGCCTCTCACAGTGCTGGGGACCAGCTGCTGCACCTCAATCCAATAGTATACACAGAGGACCTACTGCATTCCACTAACCCTTATCCAACACAGAGGGCCTACTATGCACTCGTTAACCCTCCATCCAACAGGACCACTGAGGGCGGCTACATGCCCACTAATACCTCCCAGTATCTTGTGTCTGCCAAGAGCATACTATGCACCAGGCACGTTTCTAAGCCCTGGGAAATACTTAGAATGGATGAGTCCGGCAGTGAAGACAAATGCTAGACAGTGGCTAAGAGTCACCAAGAGCCACATTCACGCTGGAAGAGGTCCCCTGGGCTGGCCCAGGAAGGGTACGCTGAGGAGTTAACACAGGGAGTCACAACTGTGAACACTTCTCTTAATGCTGAGCAACCCCAAGCCCCTGTCTGTTTTCTTCTCCATGATGGGAGCCTGGGGTTCCTGGACTGCAGAGTGCCCCATGAGCAGATGGTGCCAAGGTCAGGCTGGAAGGGTGCATACAAAGAATGTGAGTCTACTTCTCTGACCCGTGATGTCCCCTGGGCACTCCTAGCTCAGGGTGCCCCTGTCCCTATCTCCATACCCCACCTGCTCCTTCCCTCCATCTACTCCCACAGCGCCCATCCACCACTGGACCCCTCTGGCCTTTGCCTGTGCTGCTCCCTCTGCCTGGAGTGGCCTCTCTCCTCGCCCTTTCCAAGTCACCCAGGCATCCCTGATGCAGACCCCCCACCTCTGCTGCTGGCCTTTCTCTGTCCAGCAGGGAATGTCACGCCGCAGACCTGTTTCCTATTGGAGCCTGTGCCACTAGTGGACAGGTCCCGGTACCACTGCCCAGAATGCTGGTACCCAAAGGACTGAGCCAAAGTCCATTCATGCCTTGAGATCCTGGTAGAAGACCCCAGGGTCCTATAGTCTGGCATCCTGTGACCCACAGGGAGGAGCAGGCGCCATGACCAGGTGATGGTTGGGAAGCAAGGATGACAGGTTGGCAGGGGTGGGGTGGATGCTGTACTCACACTCGCTGCTGACCAGGCGTTCCAGCATCCGCCTCTGCTTCTGCAAGAACTTGGGGATGGGGCCTGGCTGTGCTCCTCCGTCTGCAGGGGACAGAGTGGATCGAGAACCAGCGGTGGCTAACTGTCCCCTTGTGCCCTGCAGTTCACTCAACACGGGCCCTCAGGCTCCTGGGTTGTCCTCAAGCTCAGAGAACCACAGGATGTGGGGTCTTCATTGCAGCCTGTGGGCCATGTGAGGACCACACCTGGGCAGCCACCTGTGAGTCTCCCCACAATGGACCCAGCCCCTCCTCCACCCCTCTGTGGCACTCCTACTTGGTGACGAACATAGCCCATCCCACCTGGGAGCAGTCACTAAGCACGGGGCACATCACTCTCTGAGTGGCACTGCCTAACCCCGCCATCTTTGGCCAGCATCATCAATGGCCTGATCTCCCTACCAAGCAAATGGTCAGCTCCCAGGGCTGAGGACAGGCCTTTGTCACTCCTTGTATCCCTGGCCCTGGTAACAGAACAAGCTAAATCCTAGTTTGTTCCATGAATTAACCAACACCTAAGCCAGAATTTATGCTGTCATTCTGTCAACATGCTGTCCCCACCGTGGAGCCCTGGTCCTCAGGGAAGGCCTCAGTACCAGGAGAAGCTTCAGTCTCATGAGCAAGGCCGAGCAAGGCCACTACTCCCATGGTAAAAAGGCCTGGGCTGGCAGGGGTGGGAGTGAGGTACCGGTGGCACAGGTGGCCTACCTTGCTCGTTGACCTGACCGACATTCTCCAGCAGCTCTGACACGGCCACCTGCTTCTTCTTCTTGGGGTTGAGCTTCCAGTACATGACCAGGGCAGCCTTGCGCACAGCCCTTTCAAGGTCAGTCTCAGAGGACAGCTGCTTCACCTCTGCCTCGTTCTCAAAAGTGATGCCTGAGAACCAGAAGTTAGCCAGCCTATGTCCCACCTGCCTGGGGCCACCAGTGCCGCTCCAAGGGCTGGGGACAGAAACCCCTAGGCGGTATCTGTTTCCTTTGGCTCCAGGAGAATGGACGTTTGCCCAGATCCTGATCCTGCCTGTGCCTAGTCTCCACGTCAGAGGCACAGGTCTAGCAGCAGAGGCCTGAGTGTCTGCTGGGACTTGCTCCCTCCCCCTCCATCCAGCATCCTACATCCCTTCTCCAGTAGCTATGCTATGAAGCCAGGGAACAGAGGGCCACCTGTCCAGGATGATGGCAGCAAACCCTGGTTAGTCTCGATACAGAGTTACCAGCAGGGCACAAAGGGGAGGGGACCATCCCTATGTGTACAGCACTTCACAGGCTCAGGTCCCCATCAGGGCAGCGTCTCCCACCAAGACCAAAGGAGAAAGGTCAACACAGTCTATGGAGCAATGGAGAACAGGCCCACAGTCGGAATCCAGCAACAGCTCCTCTCCTCACCCCAACTGCCTGGGACAGCAGCATGCCCATCCCAGGAGGCTGGCAAGACTTGGGGAGAAAAACTGGGCTTTTTCTCCTGTTAAATATTTTCTAAATTTTCCCAAGTGAGCACAGATTTCTTTTCAGCTCTGAAAGTGCTCAAGAATGTGGAGCTGGGTAGGACAGGACAGGAACTGTGCCATCCTTTCCTTTCTACCCACTCATGCTATGTTCTTGACTTTGTCCCCTTACAGCCCTGGGATCTGTAGGCTCCGCACCAGGAGCCATGTGGGCCACACTGCCCCATGCCCTGCCAGCTCCTGGTCAGATGTCAAGGTCACAAGCCAGATAGACTCACTTCTCAACAGTGGGTTTTCCACTTATTATTTCAGTTGTCCTCTTAGCAAGCAGCATCTCAAACCTTGCATTCCTTGGGCAACTCACCTTTCCTGTCTGCCAGGCACCTACGAAGCAGCTTCACAGCCTCCCGCCGGCCCTGCTTGGCTGCCAGGATCAGCCAGTCCACAGCAGTGCAGCTGTTGAGTTCTTCATCTGCATCGCTGGCCAGTCGCAGGTAGTGTTTTCCCACCTGCAAGGAGACACTGCTCACCCTCCAGCTTCCAGACCCTCTCTTGCCCTCACTTCCAGCAGCCCACTCCTCACCCCTCCTCTTCCCACACAGGCCAAACAGAAGTCAGCAGGACAGGCCCCACCAAGTGTCTGTGCGAGGCTGGATCCCAGCAGGCTCCTCAGCACTTGCTCTTCCCTCAACAGGTGAGGGCACCCAGGGCTCTGCACTTGTCCACCTGGATTGCTCCAGTCTACCGGGAGCCAGAGGCTCACCATCATTGTTAGACACTTAGAAGGATGGCTGGGCCTCTCACCGCCTCTCAGAACAGTTGGGGACCATGGAAAGTCAGAGGCGGAGAGAGGTCAGCTAGCAGCACAGTCCCACGGGCCCCCCCTTTTTTTTTGGTATATGTCATCATGTCAGCTTTTTTTGTGCTCCGTGGGAAAGCTGAGTAGATACAACAGAAAGCAGAAACCAAAACATTTACTACCTGGCCATGCCCAGGAAAGCCTGCTGACCTCGTCCGACCCTCACCCAATGGATGGACGAAGGGAGGCCGAGGCTGGGAGCACAGACAGGCCATGAAAGGGCCATGCATGCTGCCCAATTACAGAAGGCTGGGCCATAGGCAGCAGGAGGAACTTCAGTCCGACAAAGTCCTCATTGTGGCTTTGCACATCCTTGGGGAGACGTCGGGGACGGCAATCTCCCAAATAGCTGGTCCACCGCTTGAGCCACGTACAGCAGCGTGAGGCTGGAAATGTGCCTATGGCTGTAGCCCCCCAGGCCGGGTTGGGACTGCAAGCAGAGGTAGCAGGCACACCGTCACCACCTGGAACTTGCCTTGTGCCTCCAGAGTCCCCACACGTGACCACCCCGATGTCCTAGACTCTAGGGCAGGAAACAGCGTGAAACGGACTGACATGGCCTGCGCAATGCCAAGGGGAGTCCTACAGAGGTTGACCTGGGGGTGAATCCCACTTCACCCTGGTGCGTGTGAGCCTCCAAGTTACCGAAACCACCCTTGCCTTAGATTTAGCTAAAAAGTGGGAACAATGATTCCACCTCCAAGAACATGGTGAGGACCTAAAGTGACGATGACAAAGACCAGCTGAGACTCCACAGCCCCCCAGCGGTGCACTGCCCAGCTGTGCTGAGTTGGCCCTCAGCTGAAATGGCCTCTCCTCCGAGGACAACAGACTTCTGCCACCTCCTGACCGTGAGTGTCTGTCTGCTTGGCTTTTGTCTTCTTTTTTCTCTGACCTGTCACCCCCATGAGGACTGGCCCCATCCACATGGCATGTCACTGTGTCCCCAGCAAAGGCACAAACCTGGCCCCTGGCAGGTGCCTGTCAATGGGCACTGTTCTGAGGGCTAGCAGCCAAGGTGCCCATCTCCAGATGACACCATCAAGGCAAAATGGCCCCTCAGGGAAGATGGGTGTGGGTGTGAAGAGCAGTCAGGGCATGAGCTAACTGGCTGCAGAGAGCTGGAGGAAGCAGAACTGTGTGTGTGTGTGTGTGTGTGTGTGTGTGTGTGTGTGTGTCTGTCTGTCTGTCTGTCTGTCTGTCTGTAGAATGGAACGTGGAAACCAAACCAAACCAACAAGGAGGCTAGCACACAGCTGTGGCACAACCATGCTAGCTTCTGGCCCTGTTTGCAAGGCACTGACTCTTGGTAGGCTGCAGGCATTTGGCCAGGCTGCATATGCTGGGACCGTACCCTGAGCTTCCCCACCAGATGCTGGGTCCTCACCTCCGTCTGTGCCTTCGGGTCCCCAGCCTTGGCCTTCTCCAGGACTTCTTCAAAGGGGATTTCCGCATCTCCCTTCACAGGCCCTTCAACATGGGAAAAACAAGCAGGACGTCATAAAGCCATGTCTTGTCACCCATCAGTGGAGAAGAGGGGCAGTGGGAATGGGCTTCACAAGCCCCAGTGCTGACCCTCACTTTAACACCCTGGCCGGGAGCACAAGGACCCACACAGAGGCCAAGAACGGTAATAGCTCCAGAGCAGGGTCAGCAGATTCTACCCGGCAGGTGGTTTTCAACACCAGCTCAGGACTATGTGGGTGGGGGGGTGAAGGGTGCAGGAACAGAGCAGGTCCCTACTGTTGCTCCCCTCAGCTCAGGCAGGCTCTCATCAGGGCTCTAGAAAGATTGAGGCTCCAGTTGGAAAGCCTCTGACCCAAATAATAAAAACAACACTCATGAGTGCTCAGCAGTCCAAGGACCATGTCATCACTAGACATGGCCTTGGAAGGTCACAGTCTGTGTCCACACATCTTGATGTTGGTACTTTTTACTTAAGAGGGGTGTCAGACTGTTAAGGAGCTCTAACAAGCACCACAGACTGGGGACTCATGAGTAACAAGACTATTCTTTTATGCTCAGGGTTCTGGAAGCTCAAGATCAAGGTACCAGCAGATGTGGCATCGGACAGAGGCCCTGTTCGTGGTTCACAGGTGACATTTTCTTACCTCATACTTGCATGGAAGGGGAGGCATGAGGGTTTCAGCGAGGTGAGGATTTCAACATAGGAACTGTGGGGACACAAACCTTCAGGCCACAGCAGTGAGTCATGCTTAGTTTTCACATAGCACTGCCATCAGCTTACCATCTCAGATACTCACACGTCCCATCCAGGGACACGCCCACTTGGTCTTTCCTCCAGAGGAGGGCTTTAGGATGCCCTCTATAATCACTGCTTTTATGAAACAGCGTCACAGACCATTCTGTGTGTGTCTTTTGTGGTCTGTGGGGAAGTCGTTTCCTAGCACAGGTTCTCCAGCTGAACTCCTAGGCCACGGGTCCAAGCATCATCCAGATCCTGCTATTTTACTTTCTTTTTTGGTGGTACTGGGGTTTGAACTCAAGGCCTTGCACTTACTAGGCAAGAGCTCTACCACTTGAGAAATACCTCCAGGCTTTTTGCTTTAGTTACTTTTCGAAAAGGGTCTCACTTTTATGTCTGGGCTGGCCTGGACTCTAGCCTCCTATTTATGCATCTGTGTAGCTGGGGTGATAAGTACACACCACCCTGCCCAGCTTTTTATTGGTTTAGGTCGGGTCTCAAAAACAAACTGTGATCCTCTCATCTCTGCCTCCTGAGTAGCTAGGATTACAGGGGTGAGCCACCATGCCCGGCATATGTCTTACTTTCTACAAAGTCACCCTGACATACAAAGCATCGCATAACCGCCTTGACTTCATGACAGCCTTACTGACCCTGGGCACCACACCAATAGACAGTGTTTGAAAAGAATTCATTTTGCCAGTCTTTTCCTATGATTTTGCAACCAAATTTAAGAGCCAACACCCAACTCCATGCCTTGCCTCCACCACAGCTACACCCCCACCCCCATGGCAGACACCCAGACACCCTATGTTGGCTTCAGGAAGCAGTTGGAGTCTGCCTGCTTCTTAGCAGGTGCTGACAGAAAGAGCAGCTTTTGTGCCCGTGTTTTTGGAGACATAGGCAGAAGCAAGTGACATGATGCCCGGGAACAGTCACGCGCCCAGGGCAAGTCTTTCGCATCCAAGACCTTCCCAGCACTGCTCCACACCAGGCTCTGAGCTAGCTCTGCTGCACTGCTGATGCCTGGCTCCTGCCCCAGGGCACCCAATGCTGGAAGGAACAGCTCCAGGGGGAAGTGGCAATAGGCAGTAGCCCAAGACAACACAGCCTGAGAAGGCTGGGGAGGGGTCACATCCAGCCTGGGGAGGGCAGAGCAAGGCTGGGATGGCTCAAATGCAGGCAGAAGCTCAGGCTGGAGCCCAGCCCATCTCTTTAATCACGTCTCTCCCATAGGTCCATGCATTTGAAGGACTTGTGCACATGGTCCTCATTTCTGCTGGCCATCCAGGTGAAGAGAGCCCCCTCTAGGATGCTGCCCCACTCCGACAGAGCTCACTGCCCCTTTCTGCTGGCATCCGTCTGTCATCCATCACAGCCCCCATCAGTTCATGGACTCAGTCTGTGCCCCTGGATCTAACCCGTCTCTAACCTCCAGCTTCTGGTACAGCACTGCAGTGCAGCTTGGTGAACTCAGAACAGAGTTTGGGGCATCCATCTGCCTTCCCTGAGCCCAGCACAGCTAAGCCCACATGCACTTGGCCTGGTGCTCTGTTGCCAAGGTCAGTTCCCTGGCGGGAGCATGATTCTGTAGAGAAGCAGAAGGTGGAGCGCAGCCTTTCCGCGCATCAGGAGCACAGACGCTCCCAGCACACCCCACTGGGCGGCCTCTGGGGTCCTTCCACACCCACCCAGTGTGCACAAAGTGCTCCCAGAGATGTTTGGGCATAAGCATGCTGGCTTCCAAGTTCAAAGATTGCTGTTACCCAGCTAGACCTGAATTTTTTTTTAAAACATTTGAACATACTCTTAGATGAAGAGTGCAATTGTAAACACCCAGTCAATAAATAGGGCACAATGTCCCGTCTCTAATGTGCTGCCACCCACTCCTACTTCCTCACTCGCTGACCCTGGGCCCTTGGACTAGCATCTCGCTGCCCTCTCACTATGCTCACCCTGTGGGGATGTGGTGAAGGAGGGGGCAGAATGGAGAGGACACCATATGTCTCATCACAGGGCTGTGGCCTTGTTCCAGGATGGGTCCCACACACATGGTGAACCTGGGGCCACACTGGGCTAAGGGGTGCTCCACACTTGAGTCACTGGGGGCCACCTTGAACAAATGGTGCCCCACCAGACTATCTGGAAAGAGGAATGGGACCAGCAAGCGGGGGGTGGTCAAAAGAGAGTGATGGGATGAGTATGATCAAAGTATATTATATACACGGATGAAGGTGTCACAATGAAGCCATTATTCTGTACAATTAACACATGTTAATATAAAAGGAAAAAAGAAAAAAGCATTTGTTACATAAAATCAGCATGCATTGTCTCCAGAAAAGAAAAGCGGGGGGTGGGGATTGCCCCCACAGCCTTCATGCCAATGACCTGGGTCCTAGTGAAGGGCCACAGAGACGAGCCCTCGAAGCCCTCCATCCAGGTCCTGACTGGTGGCTCTTCCACCAGGCCTCAGCCTCCATCACTACCCAGCAGACATTTACTGAGCCCTGGTCCCAGGCCAGCTGGAGTGCCAGGAGCAGAGGGAACCAACAAGGCGAGGCTCCTGCCTTCTACATGGTTCACTGTGGGGTCAGCATGGACAAGCACATTGTCAGGGCAGGTGACTGGAGATATCTATCCTGACTGGGAGGCTTCCTGGAGGAGGTGACAATGGAGGCTTAGACTGCAAGCAAGAGGCTAAAAGTAAGTGAAAAGCCCATCACCTAGTTTCCAAAAGACTCAGAAACCACCCACGTGATCCTCACCTGCCCTGCACCATCATTAGGTATCTATAAGAACAACCAACTGCTTACCATGTGGGGGACATGGCCCAGCAAAGAGCAGATGGACCAGGTCAGAATAAAAGAGCACGTGTTCCCTAAATTATCACCGGTATGACTCTGAGCCTCGCTTAGCGCTGTGACCTGTGCCCCAGTCGGTGAGGGTCAGTGCTCTGTTCCCTCACCCACATCTACATTGGCTCCCTCACCCCTCCTTGGCCTCCTCACACCCAAACTGGGTGTGGTCCTTCCTGGAGCTCTGTGAGGCCCAGAGGTTCCTGTGAAGCACCCCCTGAGGACAGGGGACACAATGGAAGAGTGCAGCGGGTCAGGACCTATGCAGTTCAGCACCAGAACCCTGTGCTAATAAGGGTACACAAGGCCAGAGCTGCAGGTCCACATGGCTTTCTTTCTTTCCTCCCACTGCCCCTGGCTGGCTTCTCTGTGCAGATTCTAGCCCAGGAGGCCCTGCCAGGTCTCAAAGCAGAACTACCTCACCACCAGCTACAAGTACCTTGGGCCAGTGTCTGCTGGGCCTTTCTCCAGCATGGCCACAAGAGAAGCCCCACCCAGGTGCAGACCTCAGAGGTCAGTGGCTGAGAGGCCTGCCTCTGTACCTCTTTGTGTCAGCTGCATCACCTATAACCAGGTGGGCCAGCAAGGTCACTGAGTCACCTGGCTCAGCCATGACAGGTCCCCACGGGCCTGAACACCATGCTGGTTGTGAAGAAGGGCTTCCTCCCCTGTGGACTAAAGGCTGTACAAGGGCTGGTTGGGAAGGCGGGGGACCCCCGTAGGCAACCTGAGCAGGGTTGGCTAGGGCCCACTTGTATGTGGCCTAGGAAGCACTACCACGTCAACTCAAAATGACCTGTCTCAGTGTGCGGGTATCCACATTCCTACCCTCACCCCTGCACCAAGCCATACAACTCCCCATAGCCTTCTCTCGGCCTGTGTCACTGCTCTCTTTTGCTGTCAGGCTCCATGACATTGGAGTGTCCCAGTCCTGGCCACCATCCGCAGCAGCTTCCCATGTGGTAGGTCCTACCCAGGCCAAAGCCAAGATCAGGAGGGTGAGGTGTCCCAGCAAGGTTCTGATGCAGCCCTCCCCACCTCCCCCAGAGAAAGATCAGAAGGGGCTCCTCAGGGAAGCAGCCAGAGAAAGGAGACTGTAAGGCAGCTCAGATGGTGCCTCCTACAGGCAGCCCTTCAGCACCCTTCTGAGGCCCCAAGGAGTGGGCACACCCCTCCTGAGGGCTCTCAGGGGGCAGCAACTCTAAGTCCCCAGCCCTGGGCTCAACCCTCAGGACATGGTTACTTGTTTACTCCTTTGCCTTACTTGTCTGGGGGCTCCTGGAGAGCAGGCCTGAGCCTTGGGTCCTGTCACCAGAGCCTAACAGACCCCTCTCTGGGGACAGGCCAAGTAACTCAGTGTACTTCTCAGTGCAGCACAGGTCTCCTTGGGCACAAGTGACTTGAGGCACCTGGTGCACAGTGAGTGTGCAGATTTTGCGCCTATCTATGTGTCCCCTCAACAGCTGGGGACCCTGGGCCTTTAGCCTTTTTCTTCTGCTTTCTCATATGGAGAACAGGGCAGGGGCACTGCTCACCTCCCAGGACTGTTGGGGGAACAAATGGGTTAACACAATTACCCAGATGCCAAGGGGTGTGCATTTTAATACCTGAGGCTAGTTGCTGTGACCCACTGGAATTTTACCTACTGCTCATCACACCTGTGGACAGGTGTGGACATGCTGCCAGGGCTGGTCTGCTGTTCCACATCAGTGACCAGGGACAAGGAGAGGTGAAGCCTAGATGTAAGTCTAGGACCTTCAGGTTGCTAAATGGCTTGGCTAGCTCCTCCCTGCCCCCTCAGGGGCAGAACCAAACACAGACCGCATCTGGTTCCTGACTGCACAGCTGAAACTCAGTCTTAGGCCCACTCTACAGGGACTGTGTCCCATTAACAGACTGAAATCTAGTCTTCCAGCCCTGGCTTCTGTGCCAGGGCCAAGAGGCAGCAGAGAAAGGGGACAGCACTCATGGTTGGGCCCAGATTCCACAATGGGATCCTTGCCTGATCTACATTTGGAGACAAAGTGGCAGCATGGTGAACTTTTAAGGAGAAGCAAAGACTAAAAGAGCTTCTGAAGACTTCTGAGTGAATGGATTAGTCTGTCAAGAGCTGCCAGGGGAGCCCCACCCCACCTCAACCAGAGGCAGAAACCACTTGGGCTCTGCTACACAAGGCCAGTGTAAGACAGGAGAAGTGGGCCAACTGGTTGAGTCACTGAGGCTCTGGGACTCAGTTTCCCTGCATAGGCCTGCCATGAGGAGTCTCGACTATGGACAGACTGGTACAGAGTGGTACACACAGCAGGACACAACACCGTGTGGGGCCTCTGCTGGGCTGGGCTGGTCACCAGGGGCTGCTGGCCTCCTCGAGGGGAAAACTGATGATGGGAGCTAGAGAGAGTTGACATTGGAGGCTGACGAGGGCAGTGGGGGCTGGGTCCCTCTTCACTCATACCCCACCAACCAGGGACCAAACAGAGCCTCACATCAACTCAGCCTGCATAAGGAGGGAATGTCATGGCACCCTGCCTGGGGGTGGCAGAGGCCAAAGAAGCTCCCCACACACATCACAGGGCACCACAGGCCTCCCTCAGGGAGAGAAGGAATCTCGCACCAAGAACTTCATTCCCGTGTGACCAGCCACCTGGTGAGGTACAACAAGCGCGGTGAATCAACTCCACAGGCCATGGGACACTGTCTCAAATACAAACTGCAGAGTGCACACAGGTGGCAAGGAACAGTGGCACTGATTGAAGGGGAAGTGTTAGCCTATTGCATGGTCCAGGATCCAAGCCAGCCTAATCAGACCCCATCCACAAGTGGCTTCGTCCTCCCAGGTTCCAAACAGCCAAGTGCATGCTCTACACGTGGCACTCAGTGCAGGCTCCTGACTGCCCACGTGCTCTCAGGCCTCCTCCCCAGACTGCATCCCTGACCTCTCACCTCTAGCCTTTGTTGATGCTGTTCCTGGGCCTAACCCGTTCCCTACACCCTCACCCATGTGATGCGCTGATCCTCCCTTTGCCTGGCACACGGAAGCAGTAAGATAAATGCCAGCCAAAGATAAGGAGAACAGGATCCGCCATGAAAACTAGCTGCTGGAGAACAAGAACCTGGGCCTACCGGCCCTGCCACTATCCACTGCAAACACATCGAGGAAGCTCGGACGCAAACAGGAGATGCCCAGCTTGATCACACAGGCCAGTCCCTGTGAGCCGCAGAGCACCACACTCCAGCCCATGCCCCTCACTCCATCCGCTGAGCCCCAGGGTCTGTGTGAGCTAGGCCCCTGAGACTACAACAGTCTTCAATCTGCAGCTTTTCACCTGGAAGGGCCATGAGGTCAGTTTAACTGCCCAAAGCAGCATCTGTTTTTAAAGCAAAGGAGCCAGGCAGAGGACGTCAGTCTGACCACACAGGAAGGATGGCTTTGCTTCGGAACCCACTCCTACCCCATGTATGTCTGCACACCAGTGGGTGGCACTTCAACAGGTGAGATGGACAAGGCACATTTGGGACAGAGGTTCTCAAAGGGGAGGTGGGGAAGGGTAGAGACCGATTTGGAGAGCATGAAAGGTCCTTGGGATATAAGGAAGAGTGGGTAGTGGCCCAGGAAGATAAGTAACAGGGCTTTCAACAGACACCTGAACGGCTCTTAGAGCTGGCATCCCAACAGGACAGCACACGGAAGCGGAGGCAGGCTCCACTGCCAGCCTTCTGAGCCCTGTGGTCCCATCTGTACAAGAAGTTGCTGCCCAGAGGAAGGGAAAGGCGCTGAGCAAAGAGGCCTTGCTGTTCGTGTCTGTGCTCACTGGGCCACGTGCCCACCCACCCTGCTTCACTAAACAGCCATGGCCTGGTTCACTTGCAGACTTCTGAGCTTACCAGTTCGGTCTCCTCCCTCTCGGCTCCTGGAACGAGAGGCCCGGGGCTCGGACAGGCCAGCTGCTTCTCCAGCACCTGGTCCAGGGCCAGGGCCAGCCTGGGGTCCTGTAGCTTGGGGTACTTTGCTGCTCTCCTGTTCCACTGAGGCAGTGGCGTTAAGCCGGGCACGGACTTGGGGCTGTGGTGCTGGTGGCAGCTGTGGGCCAGAGGGGCTCAGAGGAGGGGTGCTAGAGTCCATTCTGCCTGCAAGAGAAGTGGAGAGTCAGACACACACCAGGCACCTAAGTCAGCCAGCTTCAGCTTTTAGTTTTGTAAGGTCAAGAAAGCAAAGAGACAGAGGGACCAAGCTCCCTGAATCTCATTTAACCCGCCATCTGCAGGGTTAGCCTTCTTACAGAAACTCATCAAGGTCTCTAGCTGCACACATGGCACAGCAACCTCTAGCATGAGTCCTGGCGTCTTAGGCCTCCAGTCCCCCTCAACCAGTCCCCCTGGCTTTAGTGTCCTTGTCTGAGAAATGGGATGACAATGACAACACTCACGGAGGTGACCCATGTGGAACACTCACTGAGCACAGGGCTTGACAGTGGGGGCTGAACGGGGGTCTATTTATGGCACCCAACACCTGTCAAAGTGACCTTATATGGAAAAATGGGTCTTTTCAATGTAATTATGCTAAAGATCTTGAAATGAGATCATCCTGGATTAGGGTAGCCCTAAGTCCAATGGCCAGTGTCCTGACAAGAAAGGAGAGAAAATAGACACAGAGCAGAGGCCACATGAAGACGGGTCAGAGGCTGGAGTGTAACAAGATGGTAGACACCAAGGACTGATAGCCACCACCAGAAGCTGGAGAGAGGAGGGAACAGAGCCTCCAGAAGGACCAGCCCTGCCCACACCTTGACTTTAGCTTTCTGCCTCCAGAGCTGTGCAGAATGAACTTGTGTTGTTTTAAGCCCCTAGTTTCTGGTGGTTTCTGTGGGAGATATAGGAAATGCATCTCCTGGTGCACAGTGAAGTTAGGTAAATGTGACAAAGTTTTGGGGGGGAGGGCAACTGGTGAAGCCAGGATTCAAAACCAGATCTGCCCAGCTGCAGAACCCTGGAGACCAGGCACTAGTCACATATTAAAAAGCAAACAATACATAGTGTAGTGAGGTGTAAAAGACTTCTAGAATAGACCAGAAAGCAAGAGTGTGTGGCACAAGACATGACAAAGGGAAAGCACTCCATTGGTCAACAAAGGGGCCTCATGTGCTGCTTGGCAACATGGAACTCAACACTCAACACAGTTAAGGCAACCTCCAGACACAGACCATGAAGCAGAAAGTTCTAGGGGGGGGTGTCCCAAGCCTGGATGGGCTTCATGGGGGCACAACCTCTAAAACTATCACTCCCTGTGGGATATGGGGAGTCTTCTCCTCAGATTCTCAATGACTCTTTCCAAACTCTAGACCACATCCATCCTCTTCATCACAGATGAGGAAACTGAGGCTGCTAATGAGGAAATCTGACTCCCAGCTCTAGTCTCTTGACCCTGGGCCCACAGGCTATGGGATTCTGAGCAGCCCAAGTCCCTCTCTGCACCTCAGTGTCCTCATCTGTAAATAGGGACATCTTCCCATCCTTGGACAACAGTGAGGACCAAAGACCATAAGATACAAGGGACAAGGGTCCCAGCTCCCAGTTTTGAACCTGGCCCACGAGAGTGCCTGGTGGATGTTTCTGGAGATGATCATCAGTAGAAAGCCAGGAGTGGACCCGCCCATTTTTGCTCCAACCCCAGCTACAAATGGGTCCTGAAGATAGGATCTGTGTCCAAAAAGCAAAGTAGATTTCAATCTGCACATTCCTCTCTCCAAGGGATTGAGCCCTTAGTTTAATTTTTTGAGCCCTTTTTCAAAAACAACTCCCCCCCGGGGGGATATTTTGAAACCAAAGCATAACCAGGCCTCATGAATCAGCTTGGCAATCAACGCAGGACTCCATGTTGTCTCCTAACTTCAGGCTTCTGGGAACAGCAACTCTTGCAAACCTGTTCATCTAACTGCATGGACAGACTCAGGGGCCTTGGGGCCCTGGGGGGCACCCAGATCCAGGAGGGCACCCAGATCAAGGGGCACACACACCCAGGAGGCCTGCAGGCAGCTGAGGCAGAGAAATGGGAGCAGGGCAGTCCTGCACACAGAGACCATATAGGTCAACAGACACCTGACATACAAGAAAGGCCAAATTTGTAGCTCATCTCCTCTCAGGGCTCCACATGGCAGAATCAAGAGTCACCTTCTTTTTTTATTTTTATCTTTATTTTTTTTAAGGGGAGAGCGTGAACACAGTCCCCCACTACCACAAATTATGCAGTTGAGTTTCCCACATTTGGGGAAATTGCAGGGGTCAGCACATCTGGAGTGCAATGGATAAGCCTCGCCCTGGGAAAACCACCCTCGCGATCATGGCATCTCTCCTGCCAGGTAAGTATTAGAGAGTCACCTTCTTTAATGACAGAGGGCAGCTTACCCTTACTGAGCACTGACTTAAGGCAGGGCTCTGCGCACCTTCCCATAGGCTCTTCCTGTCCTAGCCGGTAGGAACACCATTGTCCTAGTGTCGAGATGGAGAAACTGTTCAGACGTAAACCCTCACCCTCTTTCACAGACCAGGAAACTGAGGTCCAGGAAGGCAGAAGACCTGCTCAAGCAGCTTGGGGTGCCAGGGCTGAAGTTCAAATACACACCTGTGATTGCAAAACCTCAGCAAGCTCATTTCAGAAAAAGAGGCCTTTCAACCTCCCTACCCCTTCTTCAGGATCCCTTCACTCCTTCCACTGCATCCTGCGGTGCTCTTCTCCTGGGAGCCCTCCATCCCTCCCAGGCCAAAGCCAGGCAGCCTTGAGTCAGAGCTCCAGCTACGCTTTTGCCAGAGCCTCAGCAGCCTCTACTGAGGCCTTGTCTTCACCTGCTCCCAGGTACATACAGAGCTCTCAGGATCTCTCTCTACAGCCTTGCTCTATTAGAGGGGTAGGAGGAGTGGCACCATCCAGTGTAACAGGTACTACTTTACAACCCCAGGGCCCATGCGGAATGGCCACTCAACCTCACTGTCTCTGTTCCCCACCTGCACAGTAGGGACACCTTCCGCGTCAGGGTTCTGAGGGAATTATGGACATGATGGAAGAGGAGGCGATCAGCACAGTGTGAGTCATTAAAATTCTAAGTCATTATTCCCATCCAGGTGAAAAATACCTTATACAGAAAGTTTCAGAAAACAGATCTGATAGCCAGTGGGCTAAGTAACCTCTCTGGTTAGTAAGACTGGATGAATGCAGGGAAATGAACTTTCAGGTTCCCAGAGGGCTGGCCAAGCCTGGTTTGGATCAAAGAGCTTGTTATTTCAAAACAAACAAACCATTCCTGGCCATGGTTGGTTACAGAGACAACAAAGATTAGAAGGGAATGCATGCAGCAAAGACCTGCCCAGTGTCTGCCCCTTCCTCATCTGCATAGTGACACTATGCACTCAGAAGACAGGGCTGTATTTAGGGCACACACTAGGGGCTTAACATAGGCAGAGTAGAAGCCTGAAGAGAACTAGCCTTGGGAAAGAGTACCAGCCAGAGACTAGTGTAGCTGTGTGACCCTAAGCAAGTGCCTCCCCAGGCCTGGGCACCCTTGACTGCAGAATAAGAGCCTGGTCATGCCCGGTCTACCCCCAGCTCTATCACCATCAGAGTAGTGGCTTGGAATCCGTCGTTGTGTAAGATCTCAAAACACAGAGTGGCTAGCATTCTTTCCTCATGAGCACCAAGGCATATTTTTATCCCATCAAAACATTAAACGTGAGCACCAAGGAGCTCGGCTGAGGAGCTACCACTCCCAGAGAGGGCTGTCCTGACCACACATCCCCTGAGACGTGGAGCAGAATGACCTCATGGGCCTTCTCCCAGAACCTTCTAACTCTGCCCAGCCCAGCCTCACTCTACTCTGCAGGGCAGCCCTTGAACGGCTCCTTGGGAAGCCAACATCTCCACCTCCAGGATCCCCACAAGACTCGCAGGAGACACCTGAGGGCTCCCACACAGGGGTGTCCCTCACAGTGGCACCTGTGTCCAGGGGGGCCCGGGTGATGAAATCCACAGACCTCCACACGGCTATTAAACATGACCTTGTAGACAAAGGCTTAAAGATGGGAAAATGCTTATCTAACACTGTTAGGCAGAATTTAGAGCAACGTAAGATACAGTCATGGGTCTGTTTAGAATGAAAACAAGAAAATCTGCAGAAAAAGAAGAAAATGCCCTCCCACAACCAATGTTAATAACTGCTATCTCTGAATAAGGATTATTGGTGGTTTTATTTTGTTCTTTTAAAAAATGTATTTCCCTAATCTTCTATAATGAATGTGTAATGTTTTTGGAATTAAAGCAAAGTGTTATATTAAAACCCATCTACAACTGGGAATTTGGGCCCAGTAGGTCCCCTGTGCTGGCCTGGCCTGACATAACCTGAGCCCCTGGCACAGGGCTGTGCCTCAAGACAAGGGCACAAAGCCCTTGGTGGCTCCCAGGTACCTATTTTTGCCTAGAGTATTAAAGGCCAAACCAAGGAACATTCCAGCTCACCCCATGTGGCAAGTTCATGGGAACAAAGGGGGAGATGAACTGGGAATGGCCCGGGCCTCAATCGTGGACAGCCATGGTCCACCATACCTGGCACCAACTCTGGTCTGGCCTGGACAGTCAGCAGGCATGGACTGAGTCTGTCTAGTGCTGGGTCTCCCTGTCCTAGAGAGGACGTTTTAGGGTCAGACTTTGAGCAGCTCAGTCTGGATGGGAAGGACAACACCTAAATGGACAACCACAGAGGCAGAGCAGCACTTGGGGTTGCCAGGCACAGAAGGGGAACCTCACTCAACCAAGGGAAGGGTCAGAAAGTTAGGGACTGTGAAGGCTTGACTGAGCCTTCAGGACAAGTGGATGGGAGCTGGGGATCCAGGGCCAGCCTTTGAGCTGGTGGGGGCTCTGGGCATTACAGCAGGGGATGTGTCCAGGAGAGCAGGCAGCACAAGGACAGCAGTGAGTTAACAACTGTGGCCGAGAAAGTGCAGGCGGCTGGGATGTGACTGCTGGGGGTGGGTTAGAAAGGAGAGAAGAGGCCAGTGAGAGCTGAGCAAGTCCCCAGGGCCTGAACGAATGCTGGGTTAGGAGATGAACCTGACTCCACAAACCACAGGATGCAGAGCTTAAGAACCAACAGGCCTGCTGGAGTTGGATTGGGAGGAGGCTGCGGGGCCATGCAGAGAGACCAGGGCAGGCACTGGAGCAGATGGGGAGCCAGGAGAGATAGGAGGTCACAAAGGGAATGAGAAACAAGAGGTGCCGGGAGCTCTGCCTTGTGGCCAGGGGCAGCAGTACCAAGTTCTCTACCCACTGTGACTCGTACCACCACCATCAGGGATGTGTTTGGTACCTGACACACAGAGTAGGCATTTCTGGAGGCCAAGAATGAGCTGGGTCCCCTCAGTGACCAGCCCCAAAGGCCTGTCCAGTCCTGGCCTGGAAGGCACAAGTGGAGGCCAGAACTGGGGAGCCCTCCATACTCTTCTACCCAAAAAAGAAGGTAAGATGGCATCTCCTGCCTGTGTCTAGGGAGAGCAAAGGGGCAGGCAGGAAGGAAGGTGATGGAACAAAAGGAACCTGCCTCCAGATCCCTGAGAGTCACAGCCCCTTGGAGACAGAGGTAAACAGGTAGAAAGCGAGGCCTCTGGGCTCCTGGTGGGCCTCATTCTGGAATGCAGTGAGCAGGGGCAGCCAGCACCCAGGGTACTGTCACTGCCCTGTGAGTGAGTGATGGATCCTGCAGAAGGGAAAGCCCTTTGCAAACCATAAAGCCCTGGGCTAAGGGCCAGGGGTCATTGTCCAAGGAGAGGGGAGGTGGAGCTGCACTTGCTTGGTGGGGGGGAGGGAGGGAAGGCAGGTCGGCAGAGAGATCTCACACAGATAGTCTCAGTTCTACATCCAGTCTCCTACACCTGAGACTGTTGGGAGGGGTAAAAATAAGGGGGTGTGGTGGGGAGTCGAAGGAACTACAAGGCTGGTTCCTTGGAATTTCATTACATCAACTACAGAAAATGGGTGAGAGAACGCAGCTCCATCACACCCAGAAGAGCTGGGTGGGATTCCCCAGGCTTCCAGCTATCAGCTCAGAGATGATGTTCGGGAGAAGTCCATACCAGAGCTGTGGTCACGCCAGGGTTGGTTCATACCAGGATGGATCCCAGCGCAGGGATCCTGAGGCTGCAACCCGAATGGGCAGAGAGAGACTGGGGAGAGGAGCTGCTACTCCGTGACTGATCCCCCACCCCAACCGTGGTCCCCCCAACCCCCCCTGGTGTTCAAGCGCCTTCCAGAGGCCGGGCGGACACTGAGGGCAGCCCTGGGTCCAGCTCGGCTTGGATGCGGGGGAAGGGCATGACGGGGCAGCCAGGCGGCGCGGGGGGCAGGAGGGGGCGGGCAGCAGGACGGGTCCTGGGGGCGGCGGGGAGAGGACACCCGCCTGCAGCACTCAGCCGCCGGCCCACGAGCCGCTTGGCCTTTGTCGACCCCGTTTTCCGCCCCAGGCGGGGTTTCACTGAGAGGCTCGAAGGCGTGACAGTGATCGGAGGGGGATGCAGCCGATCCCGGGGCGCCCGGGCTGGGAGAGGGGCGCGTGCCTCCGGGAAGATGCGACAGGCACGGGCAAAGGTCAAAAAGCAGCGGGACCCCCGGCCCTCCAACTTCTGGTAACTTATAGAGGACTTCGAGCCAGGTTACCCATAGCTCGGAAGGGGAAACTGAGGCCTGCAGCGGACGGCGCCTCCCCGCGCTCTGGGACCCTCCTGAGCTTCTGCGTAACCCAAGGCCACCGCGGGACGGACCTCAGCCCCGAAGCACTCACCGGCCTCGAGTGGGCCTCACGCGGCGCCGCGATGCTCTCGGGCCTCCAGGCCAGCCGCAAAGTTGCTCGGGAGAGCCGGGAGAGAAGAGGCGGACAGAGCGAGCTAAAGCTTCTCTCCGCGCCGGGGGCGGGGCGCCAGGGGAGGGCCTCCGCCGTCCTCCACTCCCAGCGCGGCCCCGGGAACGCGGCGCCGGATCGGCCCGCTGAGCGGCTGGCGCGCTCGCCAATCATCGAGTGCTCTCACCAATCACGATGCGCCTCGCCTGCTGCGGCGGGTCCGGCCCGCCCACAGCGAAAGTTTCCGAGCGGACTCGGGCTCCGTCCCGCCCTGGCTCCGCCCACAGGACGTCCCTTGCAGTAAGAAGGGGCTGGGCCCTGTGTGTGCGTAACAGGTGTTTGGATCTGTGGGCAAGCACCTTTCACCGCCACTCCCCAGGGGTCCCACCTGCAGATTCATTATGTTTGCTGTTGTAATATTAACAGGCGGCGCCTACTCTGTTCCGGACGCCTTAATTCGGTGCTGCTAGACATATGGCGGGCTCCTCCAGAAGGAACAGAAAACTGCGGCCATTTAAATGTGTACGTGTATCCAAGCACTGCTTTAAATGCACAAAATCAAAAGTAACGTAGCATGCTTTCCACAAGGTAATTGTGGGATGCATTTTAAAAAGTAAGTATATGAGCCCAGGGAGTAATGTGAGGATCCTGGCAGTTGGAAGACACCATTCTTTTGGTCTTCAGAGCTGTCTGAGAGGTGTGGTTAGGAGATGCAGGCAAAGGTCGACGCTTGAGACAGCTTGCCTGGGATGGGAGGCCCTGCTTGCTCGGTCTCTGGGCCCTACGACCTGAGATACCTGTCCCGGGCCATCTTTGCAGTGACTGAAGTTCAGAGCTGTGGCCAGATATTGCATGCTAACATGTTGAGAATATTCCAGATGGCTTTGGAGGCGGGTCCTGTCTACTGGACTCACTCCCTTGGGAATTTTGTCAAAGCTGCCAAAACTCACTAGTCTTTATTGAGTCTCAGCTGCCCCCGTGGCCCCCAATTCCTCATGTAGCCCAGCGAAGCTCACAGAGGGAGGAAGCCGTGCTGGGCAGAGTGGGAGGGGGAGGTTTACCTGTGGAAGTTTGCATTTCACCGCTAAGAACCCTAGGATGCAGATGGGACTGGGCTCTTTTTATTGCTGAGAAAAACTGAGGTTCAGTTATTCAACGTCAATCAGAATTTTTCCCTCCTTTTAGAATCCTAACTTACAGAATTAGGGGGATTACAAAAAGTAGAAAGAAGAAAACAAATCACTCAAATTGTCATTTCTGCTTGCATTTTGGGGTCCGTGTACATTTAAGAAGGTGGTTCCAGAATTCCCTGCGAGAACACTGCAGGGGGGTGGCTGTTGCCTTAGGGCAAAGTCCTGCAAGTAGGGGCTTTGAGTGCTGATGGATTTTTCACAGTTATAGATGCATCATCCCAAAACAACTTTCTCCAAGTTGTTTCTAGCACATACTGCTATGGGAATTACCTTTTTTTTTTTTTTAAGACCCTTGGAAATATAAGGAAATTGAAAGAAAGTCCCCTGTAATTATAATTTGCATTTCCATGGTAACTAACTGTCTTAATGCAGTTTTTCTAGCTATGACAGAATACCTAAGACTGGGTAATTTATAAAGGAAAGAAGTTTATTTGGCTCATGGTCCAAACTCAGGTGGCAGCCTCTGGCAGGTATCTTACTTTGCTTCATCACATGGCAGAAGAGCAGAAAGGCACGTGGACTGTAGGAAAGGAGGCAACACAGGACAGCCTCACTTAGAGCAATCTGTGCAGTAGTACTCATCCAGCTTTGGTCATTGGCCCTCTCCTCCAAAAAGGCATCCACCCTCTGTATGATCCAATCACCTCTTAAAGGCCCCATCTGCTCTGAACATTTCACAGCAGGAACCAAAATTCCTTTTGGCTATTGTTAATTTAAAATTATTTTAATAGACACACAAAAAGACAAAAATTGTACATACACATGGGGGTACCATGTGACATTTGAAATCTGTCCACTATGCAATATTTAAACCAGGGTAACTCCTCAAACATTTATTGTTTCTTTATGGTGAAAACATTCAAAATCCTTCCTTCTGGCTTTTTTGAGATACACAGAACATAATCGTTGTCTGCAGTCACCCTACTGTACAATGGCCGCCAGAGCTTCCTGCTCTTATCTGACTGTGGCTCAGTACCCATTAACCAATCCCTCCCCATCCCTTTCTCCAACATGAGTGTAGAGGGGCAAACCATGTCCAAACCACAGTCCTGAAGAGGTTGGACATTTCCTGTTTGTTATCTTGAAAAGCTTTCACTTCTTCCCATTGTCTCCTGAGAGCTTAGAAAACCAATTCCACTAGTTGCTTTCATTTTTGACCCAGTCACCCTTCCCTCCAGCTTGGAGGGCTGACCTGACCTGAATGGCTCCTGCAGCCCCACCAGGGAACCAGCAGCCCCATTCACACTTGTGAAAGCAGAAGAGGCCTCCTCCAGCAACTCTGTCTTTATCATCTTGGAAAATGTGCATGGCCTTGTCGTCTACCCCCTGCTGGCTGGCTACTCTCCAGGAAATCACCACTGCCTGGTCATCAGAACACGCCCACACAATCTCACAGAGGCCAAGACACTTCACAAATGCTCCAAGGGGACTGAACAAACAGAGGCAGGGGACAGAGGGAATGATTTCTCCCATAGAGATCTAAGGGAGGAGAGAATTCAACAGAAATATACGAGACTACTTAAGGAGCCCCAGTCAGAGCGCAGCAGCGTTTACCATTGTCTGCAAAGCTGAAAAGCTAAGAAAGTAACAGGCAAATTAAAAAAAAAAAAGAATGAAGGTGAAGACAAATTACTGAACTGGAAAATGAGCTGAGTAAACACAGTATAGTGTGGAAGAAAAACATAAAATCAGCAGGAAAAAGGGGAAGGATTGAAAGAAGATCCCCTTTGACCCAGACAGCTCAGTCACAGTGGAGATTAGACAGAGTGGGTGCCCAGAACAGGAAGTGGTGGCAAACAATGGCCCTTGCAAAACTCATGGTTTAAATCTAAAAGCACCCGAATTTTGTACTGTAGATGCTAAGAAGAGATTCCTGAAACGTGAGCCATGTGCTAGAGGGAAAATCTATGTTTGCTTGAAACTGAAAAATGGATTCTATTTTACGGAGAAGTCAGAACATTCTAAGATCACATCTGGTTGGGGGAGCCAGAAGAAGTGAGGATCTGATCTGGCACGTGGGTGGGGAAGGAAAGCCTAGTGGTGGAGTATTGTTACCATTTGCTCTGACACATTAATGGGGAATATCAGTTTGAGTATGGCTCTCAGGCACTGAAAAGCAGAAGTTAGTGGAAAAAGAAGCAGAGAAGTTCTGATTAACAGGCGGGGCTGGGGGCTGGTGGAGTGGCTTAAGTGGTAGAGCACCTGCCTAGCAAGTGTGAGGCCCTGAGTTCAAACCCCAGTACCACAAAAACAAACAAACAGAAAACAAACAGAAAAGCTGGGGGAGAGCTAGAGGACAAATAGGAAGCAAAATTAAGGAGAGAAAGAGGAAACAACAGCACAGTCTATTTCAAGGAAACATCAAGGAAGATTCTGAAATAAACAACAGAGAAGAACTTTCATAATAACTGAATGGGCTGGATTTCCAGAAAAGCCTGCAGAGTTCTGGAATTAAAACTGAAACCCAGTTAGGGGCTACTTACAGAAATCAGAATGCTAACAAGCAGAAGTTCTAGATGGACATTGAAAATTGGAATTAAAAACACTAGGAATGGCAAATTAATATTGGATAAGGAAGACTGGAAGGCAGAAAGCCTTCACAGGAACGTGCATAACGGTGCAAGGCCCCATCCACAAAGCTTTAATCACCATCAATCTCAGAGTGACAGAAAGTCTAGCAGCCGGACACTTAGCAATACCTGCTAGATACACGAAAAGGGCACATTCAGCACAGCTCTGATGGGACCAAGGCTTCTGTCCTGTGGGGTCTGGGCTCCTGCCCCAAAGAGCCAGCTGTGTGCGCTTGTGTTGAGTCTTGAATGTATGAGTGAATGAATAAATGAATGAATAAGTGAGTGAGTGAGTGAGTCAGTCAGTCAGTCAGTCAGTAATCCCATGCAGGAGGGACCGCATACAAGCTGTTTCCTGCCTGTACAATAGAGTCCAGACTCTTTAATATGACATCAAAATATCTTCCCCCAGCCTCAGTCCTGACTTCTTCCCAGTTTTTATACTGTACCTTCACAACTTGCCTGCTTCCATTTATTGACTTCCTGCAGGTTTCAGGCAGTGACTGTGCACCGAGCTTACAGAGAAGAGGCAGGGACTTGGTGAGTTCTTGCTTTGGAGGATGGCAAAGCTGGGGGATCTTCAGGCCATTGGTGTACTGGATAAATAGTGCCCAGAAAGACATCGAGTCCTAATTCCTAGAACCTGTGACTGTGAGCTTATTCAGAAAAGGGGCTGGGCAGATGTGATTAAGGGTCTTGGGGTGGGGCGGTTGGCCTGAGAAATCCAGTGAACCCTAAATCTAAACACAAGTGTGCCGCTCTCACACAGCAGAGAAGCAGGGGAAGGTCTGACCACACACAGAGATGAAGTTGATGTGAAGACAGAGCAGAGAGAGAACCAGAGATGCAGGCGTTGTAATGATGTGGCCACAAGCCAAGGAGTGCTGGCCACCCCTGGAAGCTGGAAGAGGCCAGGCACACATCTCCTTGTTTTTGTTTGTTTGGTGGTACTGGGGTTTGAACTCAGAACCTCATGTTTGCTAGGCAGGCACTCTACCACTTGAGCCACTTTGCCAGCACATCTCCTTGATTGTGGCCTGTGACACTGATTTTAGACTTTGGCCTCCAGAACTATCATGGAATAAATGTCTATTGTTAGAAGCCACTGAGTTGTGGCAATGTGTCACAGCAGCCCCAGGAAACTCATATAATTGGTACCATCGCATCTGAGCATGAGGCCCTGTGGTAGGCTGGTGTCCGGCCAAGGTCCTGTGGATGAGCTTGGAAGGAGTGCAGAAGTCCCAACCCTTGACAACAGGCAGCCTTGGGGAGAACACTGCTAATGCTGGAT